AGGCAGCTCATGTCAAGGGCCTCAGGTGATCACTGACGTCACATGTAAGAGTGTTAATTGTTAAATTAACAACAGGAGTCACTGTGTACTAACTGCCCATGTAGGATCTCTGTTCTCAAAAGAACTACAGTATTAACATTAATGGTAAAACTTGATCCCAAAGATTTGCTTTGTTCTATTGTGATATTATGCATCATAAGTTCTAGTTATGTTTAAGTGTCAAACTCCATTGCCTGTGTGTTTAGGTATTTCTTTAAAGTTTATTAGGTGCCTCAAATGTAAAATCTTGTGAAATTCCTAGCTCGTATGTTTTAACATAGGGTTAGATATTAAAAGACAGCCGAGGAGATTTCTCAAAATGGCAAAATTCTGTGGACTTGGGACTCCAAGATTTGGATCCCGAGCTTTCTCATGTAGCTTTAAAGATGCCCTGATGCAGTCTCCGTACGGAAAAGGGTAGCTGCAAAGTTGTTCCAGAGAACTAAGGAGCTTCTAACTAAAGCTCCGGTATTGGGAATTGCTGATGACAGGACTCTATGGAATTTGAATTCCAAAATTCAGATTCCAAGCTTTCATATATAGCTTTAAAGAGGCCCTGATGCAGACTTTGTACTGAAAAGGGTAGCTACAAAAGTTGCTATGGATTCCAGGATCTGGATTCTAAGCCTTGTGTTTGCTTAAAAGCCTCTGAAACAGACACTGTGCTGGACAGGGGAGCCGCCAAGGTGTTCCAAGGAATCAAGGAGTTTGTGACAAAAACTGCAACATTAGGAATTCCTGAGCAAGCCATTCTTCAGATCCTCTTCAGATCCGTTTCAGTGTACATGACAGGGACCTTACCAGGTGCTGTTGAGCACGACCACCTCCATGAAATTAGCATTAAACTTCTACCTCTTAAGTCTTCACAGGTGAATGTGAATGACATGACTGACTGTTCCTAGAAGCCAACCAGAAGCCTTAAGTACTGCAAAGCAAAAGGGATAAGTAAAACTTTTGCCTTTGTCTCCTTAAGGCAAACATGCTGTCCCTGCCTTTCTTAGTTATCTCTGGGGACTGTTATTGACGATAAAGCTACCTAATGCTTTACTCTATTGTAATTCTCTATACTCAAGCTAAATGGGTGTATAATCTACATAAGGATAGCCTATCACTACCCACTATCTGGGAATCTATAAGCTATGTTGTTTTCATCTAAAGGGGCACCCACCTACAATTGGTTTTGCTTATACTAATTAACAACTTATGTTTCAGAACTCGACTCCTGGGAGTAACTGACCATGCAGGGGACACAGACCTTGGCAATGACTGAGACTGCTCCAGCTCACAAAGCAAATTTGTTAGATAGGATAGACAGAGACTTCCAGACCCTGGATAGGCCAGGGCCTGTGCTACGCCCCTCAATAAGCAGGAAGCAGTTACAGAAGAGATGATTCAAAGTCCATCCACTCCCCTTAGGATTAAAGGGATGGAGTCCCTGAGGGGGGAATGAAGTAGGCAGGCATATAGGTTAAAATTCTTTAGGTTTGTGAGCTGGAAGACCACGCCTTTGCCACGCCCCTGTGTGACCTCACGCCCTACCTGATACCTTCACCAAGCCCCTGTGTGACCTCATGCCCCTACCTGGCCACACCTGGGTGCCCACCAGCCAATTAGGTTAATTAACCACTCCCCGTTGGAAGTGGGTTAAAAGACTGGGACACGGTGTGTCCAGGCCACTTCTCTTCTTCCCTGGCCTCTTCCCAGGCGGGGGCTTGCTATAGCTCTGAGCCTCCAGGCTTCCTGGGCTAGATGCTCCTCCACGTGGCTGGTTCCTTGTGCGCGGTATGAACCCAGATTTCTCTCTCTTAAAAAAAGCTCTTATGCACCTTTCGCACTAAACAAAAGCAAAAAAACAAAAAACAAAAACAAACAAACAAACAAAAAAAACCGCCTCTCCCAGGAGAACGGCTACAGCCACATTATTTCATTGGTGGAAGCGCCTGCTGCGGGGTCCTTGAGAGGCAGCAGTTCACCGTTGGGGGTATTTCCCGTCCAGTTGTGACAAAGAGCACGTCCAAGTTTCCTTCTTTGACGCGACCTGCTCCGGGTTTGTGCACGGTGAGGTTTACTCCTCTTCGGATCGCTTTGAGCCAGGGACTCCCTCCGCGCCAGTGGCTGCAGGAGTCCAAGCCGAGCGACACTGGTCCCTTCGCTAGCTGTGGCTGGAAGGCGTCGCGGTGTCCCGGGCTCGAATTGCAGACCTCCAGGCTGGAGAAGCTTGCTGGCAACCATTATGCCGCCTATCATTTTGCGACTTCAAAAATAAAGCGAAATACTCTCTTCGCTGCCTCCTTCTTGGACGGGTAGAGATCCTTGAGCGTTTCTCTCCCATGCGCGTCTCCGCTTCTTCCTCCCGCTTTTTCCACACAGTCACGATTCCCACGCCTAGGATCTGGCCAGTGCTTCCCCGCAGGCCTCCTGGGAGGTCTCCTTGTCTCAGCGACGCCTCTGCTTTCTTTGGCTCCTTTTCCAGCGTCTGCTTTTGGCGCGGTCACTCACCCGCACCAGTCGCACCGACCTCACGGACTCCGCCGAGCGCAGCCGGGCGGAGCGCGGAGTGGGAAGCGCCGGCACGGAGCCCACGGGCGCGCTCGGCTCCCGGTGATCACAGCACGGCTCCCGCGGACTCGGTGGCGGACTCGGGCGTCCCTGGCGCGCTGTTTCTGAAGCAGGCGAGGGGTAAGGCGGGGCCAAGGCCACTCGGCAGCCCTTCTGGTGTCAGGGTTTCTAACGGGACTGACGCGACAGGGTCCCAAACACTCCCGAAGCTTGGACTTTGCAGTTATCTTGCAGCGAGGAGGCCAAACCTAGGCTTTCAGTGAATGCCTAGTGTATTCTGAAACCGGAAACATGATACTTCCCGTGTCTCTGTGGCGCAATCGGTTAGCGTGTTCGCCTGTTAAGGCGTCAAAGAAGGTTGGTGCTTCGAGCCCACCCAGGGACTAGTCAAGCTTTACTTGTAAAAGGAGGGTTAGTGCGTTTGTGGTCATTGTTACAAATATGTTACTGAAAAGAAGACAACAACCTCCTAACCTGGGTGTCTTGTCCACCAGATAGTACAATCTTAGCGCAATCTTTGTCAACTTGCCATTCAGAAACATCTCTCTAAGCATGCTCCACATAAAGACCATGGCCCCTTTTCACTTGTGCCTAACATAAGAAAACTATCACGATCCACAAACCAAGAGGCTATTCTTCCCATTAGCATCCTGTAACTTCAATGCTATTGTTAAGTTGATACATCTTATGTGGTAGGAGTAAGGAGATGAGCAAGAGAGACTAACAGTGAGAGAGAGACAGAGAGAGAGAGAGAGAAAGGAAGAAATACTTGTAACTATTACATGCTTGTTTCTGCAACTGGTCTCATACAAGTCTGGTATTTGTAACTGCCTTCTTTCACTCAGTTCCATGTTCCTTTGCTCTCTGCAAGCACCTCAGCTGGTCTTTGTTATTCACCTGGTGTGTGTGGGTGGGTGCGGGGTGGGGGTACATGAACCTTCATTCCTGAAGTATCTGGATCATTAACAATCCTGTCTGAATTGAGCTGGTTTGGTTTTCCACTGACTTATCTCAGGACACGGTTGCTCTAAGAGATGTCTAAGAGATGTCCAAGGGATCTCCTGTGCTTAGACATAACTCTTCCTTGCCTGCCTCCATGGATGGAGAAGCAGTTCAACTTGCCCTTGGCAATCAGGGTCCACCACCCTAGCCAGCACGGTAGCTTCCTTTTTTGCTTGTGGATTCAGAGGCATGAGACGCCCAAAGTGGCTGAGTGGCAGTCTTAATGTTCGATAGAACCATTGTCTGTTGATGGGTACATTCCTCCCTTCTGAACTAAGACTTCCAGACCAGAAGAATGTGAAGGCAAAGGTAGAGAAAGCCAACTATTGCTGATGTATTACTAGCAGTAATAATGAGTGGTGCTGCTTCCATTTCCACTCCTTGGTCCCTGGACCTGTGAATCCTGGCTATGGGAGAAACAGCACCGCCTGGTGAACGGTTGCCTGGAGAACCTTGTCCCACATAGCTGGCATGGTAACTGAGGCTTCAAGAGGTCATTCCACTGTTCTAATCAGACCAGAGGCTTCAGGATGTGAGAGAATGTGGTGAAATCAATGAATTCCATGAGCTTAGGCCCACGGCTGCAACTCATTTGCTACAGAGTGAGTTCCTTGACCAGAAGCCACGCCATCGTCACCACACTGTGAGTAAGGCATTCTGAAAGTCCATCCATCCAATGTTATGACTCCTTCACTATAATCCTATACCCTTAATATCAATTTCCACATATATCTCATGTGTTTCTGTCTTTGTAAATTGGAAGAGTCACGTAGCTCTTTTGGAATATACTGCACCTCCTTAGGGGTTTAGAAGACAAGTGTGGGTGAGTCCATGAGGACTCCATATTCTATTCTGAGGCCATTGCCTCAGAGGAGAGCACTGAAGGCTCCCCAGGCAGAGTTGAGTGAATCTCCTCCAATGCGTGTTGAAAGGCTCCTTTACTGGCAAGGAGAATACAGCAAAATTTAGAGCTTTGATGCCTGCGTCTTCACCTGGCTTTTCTCACATGTGCCGCTTTCACTTCCCATGATTCCAGCCCTTCTCTATCGACTCCCTCACTTAACAGTGGACACCGTGCAAGTTGGGTGCCAGAGTCCAGCTCCAGCCGGTCCAGCATTTCCTGAAGGTGTGAGAGGCGTTGGCACAGGAAGAAATGAGAGACACACTCACAGCAAGGCTGAAGGCATGGCTCTAGCTTTCAGGTACCAGACTTACCTTCATAGCATAAATCACATGTGATTCTTTCTTCTTACAATAGCAAGTCTGTTGTCCATTTTCTTAGAACCATTGACCTTGTATTTTATGGTGCCTCTAGATTCTATGTCTACATCTAGTTGCAATTCCTTTATTTTTCAAGGGCATATTTAGTGCATGGGTTACAATCACAGACAGGTGCGAGACAATGGGCTGCCCACACAAGCCAAGGCCTGGAGTGCTGTGGAGCTATGCAGAAATTCGCTACACAAGCTAGAATAGTACCTGCCTAATCTAATCTTTACCAGAAGCCCCAAGTTCAAAGCAGGCCCTTTTTAAAATGTGTACCCTCTTTTGTAGTTCTCTCTGTAACTCTTTATTTTCTTTATTGCACTTAAAATTAGAAATGCAGCAATCCTTAGCAGGACCACCAGGAAGCTCTAGCTTTCTTATGCAGAGTGTAGTTCCCATCAAATCTAAAACCACCAAGAGGACCACAGCTGTCATTCTCACGCCTTGCTGAGACACCTTCTGCTGTGACCTTGTCAGCCAGCCTAAGTTGCCTTGGCCTCACCAGTTGGCAATTCAGTTTGCTTTGTTACTCAGCCCCTCTTCTCAGGATGTGTGGTTTCCCCCAGTCTCAGCTCTCAGGCTACAGGGGATAGAGGTTCTTTCAGGGAAGAGAAAGGAAATTTTAGGTTGCTTATCTTCGGTCAGGAGGTCTACATGTTCTTCCTCAACATTTGACTGTTGTTTAAAGATAAACACTTTGTTTTCTTTTATTAAAGATGCAATTTTCAGGCCAACACCTGTTGACGCACACACTGCGGGGGACGCGGACCCATTCTCAGAACAGCATTGAACTTACGGAGGCAGAGATGGCGGCCCAGGCCAAGAAATCTGGTTCAGGGTGTCTGTGCCCCAGGCCCTCAGGTGCACCCCCTGGCTCCGCGGCTCCTCTCCTGCCACAGGGAGGCGGCTCAGCGCTCAGCCCAAGGTGCACTCTGTGATCGAGGACCTGGGTGTTCTTGAAGTTTTCAGGGACCATCCAGGAGTGTAGGTGGTAGTGGCAGTGGCTCCAAGAACCAACATTCCAAACTGCAAAAACTCTCCTACGCTCTTATTGAGTGTAGTAACTTTGAGATATCACTAAAATTGTGTTGCTGCTTCATGGGCTCTTGTCATCAGTTCAGGATCGCCTAGACAAGGGTCCTAGCACCAGCCTATTCAGTGCAATTTTGCAGAGAAGTGTAAAGATCCCAAAAATGCAAAAGACATACCTGCATTGGCCGGGAATTGAACCCGGGTCTCCTGCGTGGGAGGCAAGAATTCTACCACTGAACCACCAATGCACCTATCACCACTGTATTCAAAGTGGTCACTCCTGAGAGTATCCCCAAAAACAGCCATTGTTTTAAATTGGTTTATTGTAGTGTTGAGTCAAAGCTAACAAACGCACCCACACAGAAGTATTTTAATAGAAGACTTTCACAAAACTATCAATATCAAAATGTCTAACTTTACCTGAAGCAACTCAAAAAAGGTTCTTTCCAACTGTATGACAGTTCTCCATAGTGAAACATCAGAAATTCATTCAGGTTGCTTGTTTCTACTGCTGTCTCCAACGGCCAACCTCAAAGTGTTGCCTTAGTGGTTCTTAGAAGGTGACCTAACTGGTAGGGGTAGGTAAGTAAAGTTCTGATCAGAGGAGAAAGTAGCAGCAGCAGACGCAAAAGAAAGGAAACCAAAGGACAGAATCAACATAGAGAAATGAAGAAGTCAATTTTGGTTCATGGAATTGTACTTTTTAGGATGTATGGTTTTTTTTGTAAAAGTAATAACCAATCTTATGATAAAAACATGGTGTCTACTTTATATGATGTTTAAAGTATGTACAGGGATGTGTGATATAAAAAGATCAACAACTCTTGAGGTCAATGTTGATTTCTTTGGGAATATCCAATTTCCTCAATTAGTATGCTTTAATTTATCAGCTATGTAAGGACGTGGCTATTTTTTTAAACTTTTATTTAGTAAATATAAATTTCCAAGGTACATTTATGGATTACAATGGCTCTCCCCACCCGCCATAACTTCCTGTATCTTGCGCCGTAAGTGGGTGAGTTCTCTGGCCTGAGCCTGAACTAGGGAGTCTTGTCCGCTAAGGTAGGGAAGAAGACAGAAATGTAAGATTGTATGACAGCTCACAGGAGCCTCGGCAGAGCCATCCACTAGAATTGCCGAAGGGCAGTGCCCACGGTGCATGCTGGTGTATGTTGTGAGGCTTGCCTTGGCAGGGGGAATGTGCACAGAGGCCCTGTGCTTGTTTGTTTTTGCTATGATTAAGATGCCCTTTCAGTCCCTCACCTCAGCCCACATCCATGTAGTGAACAGCAAGCAGTATGCAAATAGGGCCAGGAACATCTGTGTTGGGCAAGCTCGCCTGCTGGCATTGAGAGGTGGGAAGTCCCATAAAGCCCATGAAGGCAACATTCATTAGAATGACATGGAGATAGGCTGGCGCTGAGGCTCACTAGGGTAATCCTCTGCCTGCGGTGCCAGCACCCCGGATTCTAGTCCTGGTTGGGGTGCCGTTTCTGTCCTGCTTGCTCCTCTTCCAGTCCAGGTCTCTGCTGTAACCCAGGAAGGCATTGGAGGTTGTCCCCAAGTGCTTGGGCCGTGCACCAACATGGGCGGCCAGGAGGAAACACCTGGCTCCTGGCTTCGGATC